AATGAACAGCACAAGATGTTGTTAATTACATTACATAATTATTAGTTTTCAGGTAAAAAATGATGTCCATAATTTAGTTACTGTTTACTTCCTACAGAATTAGTAATAAAGAATTAACTCAGCTTCCTGTTTCAAATGAGTTAGGTATTTATTGAAATGTTGACTCTTTCAGAGGGTGAGATGAAATAATGAATCATCTTCCACCGAAAAAAAAAAAAAAGTTTTTCTTAAATTAACTGGAAATTATGAAGTAGTTCTTAGGTTTTTAACAACATACTGAACAAAAGATAGATCTGATTTGAATACTTTTTCCAAATGTTGCTTGTTCCTCCTCTCCACCTCCCCCAAAAAAGAAAAAGAATACCTTTTGTTTCTAGGGCAGTTGCTTTTACACAGAACACAAGTATCCTTTTCTTGGAACTTGTAGTTTAGCCCGTAGATTAATAGTACTTCACTCTTATGTATAATTTTTACTACATGTCCATAATGCTAGGTTAATTGCTATGGTAGTGGTTTGTGCTCTGTATATTCAATGATGTCCAAGGTTGTTTCTTTCTTCCAGTGTGGGACACTGGATATAAATGGTTAAAAGAGACTATGTATAGAAAGAATGTGTGTGTAAAAAAACTATTTTAGAAATGTGTTGGTTGACTTGAGCTCTTTTTTTTTTTGTTTTGTTTAATTAAAAGTTTTAATTGAGAACTACGATAGCTGCTTTTTTACCAACTAGGTGCTAACTACCAAACCAGTTTCCAGTATGACATAAATCAGAAGACAGAAGGATCGATATAGGACTTTTAAAATGTCTGAATGCACAAATATATATGCACGCATTTATGTTCTGTGGACAAATGGGAAGCTGTTATAGATTGCATCAGAGTTAAACTTGAACCTTTTGCCAAGATGTTTTGGTAGCTCCAGATGCGCTCCTGAGGTACTGTTTAGTAAACATCTAGTGCAGATAGATGCTTTATAAAGAGTAGGAATTGTAGGAAGAAGCGTTACACACTTGAGGAGCATTACAACTGTATCTGTGCCTTATGTGTGCTGTTGTTACACAGTTAAGTTTAAATACAGAGTATCCACATAATGGTGGCAGTTCTGTGCCTTAGTGTATTCACTGGTTTCTGATCTTTTCACAGAAGGTTTTAGTCTTTATTTTAGGACCATAATAGGTAATTACAACCATAGATTTTTCAAAATCCTACTCTTCTGATGTACTCCAGCATTTATTAATATGCACAAATTTTCTATAGCTGGTAGAGTTACCAAAGTTAAGTTAAACACGTCACTTACCCCAGTATTGGTGAAAACAGCCTGTATCTGAAGAGGGAGTCAGTCAGTCTGGGATCTCAAAATTTTGAACAATGTTCTAGCCTATTTCCGAGAACTGAAATAAACTGAAAAAGGCTGTGAAAAGCCCTTCCTGTTGAGTTTTCTCATATCCTGTCTTTGAGTCTGAATCTGTCTTGAAAAATCAGTGCCTGATGTGGAATTGTATATGTTGGCTTCAAAAGACTTCTTTCCTGGCTAACTAGAAAGGCATAGACTTATTCCATCTTCAAATCAAGTTGACAGGTGTTAAACCTGTTCCAAAGAAGTGGCACTGCTATCTGTGCCCACAAAATACGATCATGTTTCAGGTGTTTCCTTGGGAGGAGCTTTTCTTTCTTGTCAGTCAGTTGCTAAAATAATACTGTGCAGCACAGATACAGATATTTGGATCTGATCCTCCCAGCAAATAGATACTATTTGGTTTTACCAAGTCCCTTGCTGAGTATCCATGATTGTGGGGACGGTCTCAGCTGTTTTTTCTGTGTTTTGTTCTGTTCTTTGGGGGTTTTTTTAACTTTCTTCTTGGGACATTTACCTTTTTCTCTCTATCGCTTCTTCCCATCTACAGCACTGCACGTTCTTTGTTCAAAGTCATCAGAGTTGTTTTGTGATTTTTATTTTTAATTTAAATATTAGCTAGTAGCAAATACTCTGCATTCACTGGGACCTTTGAGTGAAGTTCCCCATTTACATGTGCATCAGTTTATGTATTTTGGTTGGTAACACTTTCTAAACTGCTTATTACTGCTGTTTTTACTTAAACTACCTGAATTGAGTTAGTACAGTAATGAAGTTCTTTTGTGTGTGGTGGCATAAAGGCAGTTTCCAGTTCAAGTCTTTTCATTGCACAGTAAAGTGAATATCAGTATTTTGGCATAAAGCATATTGGATATACGCCATTGCATAGGTGCCGTATCTTGGGAGGAGACATAGCAGTTGGAAAAATGTCACCCAAAAAGTTATAATTATATGCCTTTTTGAATTAATCACTTTGGAGATATTTTTGATCCAGCATATTTTCCTCAATCTATATTATTACAATGCTTTTTAATTTTTTCTGAACATTGAGATACCTCCAGTGGTTATGCTCATTCATATACATATAGAGTCAAGAAGGACTAGAGATTAACAAGATCCAGTAATTATTTCAGTTACTGTTTCGATTTTGAGAAATCTTGCAAAACTTACCTTATCAAAATGTTTTGGGTGTTTTTGCCTGAATGTAATGCTAGTGTTTTATGGAAGCTTGATAAGAAAGGTTAAAGTTTCTTGTAAAGAGGCATTTTAATATTTTGATATGCATATGTTCGTTGTAAACCTTTAACCTTTAAATGTAGTTGCAACATTGTCACCACTGTATATGACAGTACATTTAGAAACGGGTCAGGTATTCCATAGAAAGTTCATTCGATATTTCTGGGTGTGCTGCCACCAGAATGATATATACTATTACTTTTCAGTGTTGTTTTTTACTGTAAATAGTTTTGAAGCACTCATGTATTATGTGATAACTGCCTGTCTTAGGCTTCATGTGAGTTTGTAGGTGTCTCATGTAGGTGACTTCTTTATTATTTGGCAGCTCACTGTT